TGCGTTAATTAAATGTTATGATGTAAATAATAAAGAACACATCGCACGCGCCCTTCTTGATTCCGGTAGTTCGTCTTGTCTAATGACGGAACGATTATTTAAAAAATTAAATTTACCATATTTAAATATAAAAAAGTCTATTCAAGGAATTAATAATTCACTATCTCCTGTAAGAAAAATGTGCCGAGTTCACGTCGAATCTTTACACGAACCTTATGCTAATGATATAATATGTTTTGTCTTGCCCACTATTACCGATAACGTTCCCGCTAGACAGGTACATATAGATATTTCTTCGAATATACAGTTAGCAGATCCGTACTTTTACTCGCCAGCTTCCATTGATATTATAATTGGAGCTGACGTATTTTGGAGCTTGTTAGGCTCTGATAAAATTATATTAGGTGATAGGAAACCAACATTACAACAAACTAGACTTGGTTGGCTAGTTTGTGGCCCAGTTAACGGCGGCTATAATATGTTGTCATCTCATTTCCCACCAATAAAATGTAACTTTACAAACTTTAAAAATAACCGTTCTTCTAGTTCTCTTGAGTTAGATGACATCCAAAACCAACTTACGCGTTTTAGACAGCTTGAAGAAGTTTGTCATCAGTCATCAACTTATTCATTTAAAGAGAAGATATGCGAAGAACACTTTATTAATAACACTACGCGTTTGCCAGACGGCTGTTTTAATGTTAGAATCCCGCTTAAGGAACCTTCAAGTCGTCTTGGTGATTCATTTCATCGTGCAAAACGCTGTTTTCTGTCATCAGAGCGCAGAAATTTAAAGCAACCTCCACTCGACAAAATGTACAAGGATTTTATGTCTGAGTATATTTCTTTAGGTCACATGTCCGAGTGTCATATTAATGCAAACCAAACGTCATATTTAATTCCGCATCATGATGTCTTGCGTAAAAGTAGTAGTACTAAATAATTAAGATAGTTAGTTCCTTCAATTTCCAGCATCTAATATTGTCTTCTGGACTGATTCTATGATTGTTTTGGGCTGGTTAAAAATGTTACCAATTAAATTAAATACTTTTGTTCGGAATCGTGTTTCCGAAATATTAGAAGAAACCAGTTCTAGCAATTGGAGGCATGTCCCTACAGACGATAATCCCGCGGATTTGATATCTCGTGGAGTAGAACCTTCCGCCATGCAAGCATTGGATTTATGGTGGTTTGGTCCATCCTTTTTACGACAGGATATTACTAGACTGCCATGCATGCCTACGGATTCAGTGAACCTACCTGAAATTAAGTCAAATATTTGCCTTGTAGCGAGTGACGCTAATCATAATTTAGATAAAGGATTAATTAATTTGAACGTTTTTCAAATTTTACGCGGTTACAACGTAGTATTTGTTATGTGTTACGTTTTATTAAAACATGCAAAACCCGTTCTACATTTACGTCTAACTTTACTGCTGAAGAATTACAAAACTCTTTAAACATAATTATAATTCAGTCGCAAAAGGAATCTTTTCCCGAATATAATTTATTAATAAATAAACAAAAACTACCATATAAAAATCAATTATTAAAATTTAATGTTTTTCTCGATGATAACAAAATAATCCGTATAGGGGGAAGATTACAAAATTCTGACTATTCATTCGAGAAAAAACACCCTATATTATTACAGTCCACTAATCATTTTGTCAAACTTTTATTCAGACATGAGCATATCAAGTTAATGCACGCTGGACCTCAACTAATATTAAGTACCATTAGGCAAACCTATTGGCCGCTAGGCGGTCGTAATTTAGCTAGGGCTTGCTACCGTCAGTGCGTTCGATGTCAACGTTTGAAAGGACAGACAGTTGTTCCCCAAATGGGTAATTTGCCAATGAGCAGGCTTTCACCATCTGACTTTCCTTTTCAAAACGTTGGGGTCGATTATGCAGGACCCATTTCGTCAGCTAGTCGTCAAGGTCGCGGATGTAAAATAGTAAAGGTATATATAGCTATATTCGTGTGCTTTACTACGAAGGCCATTCATTTGGAATTGGTGGGTGACTTGACTAGCAGTAATTATTTACAGGCATTACGCAGGTTTATGTCTCGAAGGGGAAAACCGCTTAATCTTTTTTCCGACAATGGTTCGTCGTTTGTAGGAGCCTACAATGAAATTTCTAATTTTTTAAAACTTAACTGTGACTCCTTAGCTGAAGACGTTGCCCAACATGGAACTAAGTTCCATTTTATTCCTGCCTATGCTCCACATTTCGGTGGACTTTGGGAGGCAGGTGTTAAGTCGGTCAAATACCATTTAATTAGAGTGTTGGGAAATTGTAATCTCACGTACGAGGAGCTTAACTCCGTACTTATTCAAATAGAAGGTATTTTAAATTCGCGGCCACTTACGCCCTTATCTACGGACCCTGAAGACGTGCTTCCGTTGACTCCTGGACATTTTTTGATTGGACGGCCACTTACTTCACTTCCAGTCGAGGATCTGCGAGAACCTTCTAGCAGCCGCCTGAGTCGTTTCCAGCGAATTGAGCAAATGAGACAGCATTTTTGGATTAGGTGGAGCAAGGAGTATGTATCCGAGCTGCAGCAACGTGTGAAATGGTACACGTCCAAAGACTCATTGAAACTCAACTCACTTGTTGTTGTCAAAAAAGACAACCTGCCGCCATTAAAGTGGAGGATGGGAAGAATTGTTGCTCTTCATCCTGGCATGGATAATATCAGCAGGGTTGCAGATATTAAGACTGCCAATGGAGTCATACGAAGAGCCTGTTCAAGAATTTGTCCCTTACTGTAAGATTCCTGTTGAAAGGCAGGCTTTCAACGGCCGGGGGCATGTTGAAGCACCATTAAGCTATTTTTAAGTAAATTAAGTAACATAACCAACGTAATGCTCTTTTTTTCTATCAGGCGTCGTTATATATTGTCATTATAGCACAGACGGTGATTTTAAATTTTTCTTTCTCAATAAATTGTAAGACAGCGTGCTGTTCGGTCATCAAAGTTTAAATTTTTCATTTAAAAATCCCAGTAAATCCCCCCTATACGCGCACAATATGTTATTCAAGAAGTTACTGTCACATGAAATGTTAATATATCAATAATATCGATTAAAATCTTTTAAAATTAATAAATTCAATAATATCGATTAAAATCTCAAGTAATTCGTTATTTACCTTAGAATACACGGTCCAGTGCATTTACTCATTTTAATTAAAGAGATTTTCATCCACAAAGCATTTCCAGAACAAAACATATTACAAAATTATTTAATACCCCATAGCTTTTTCATATCCTGCCGCTTTCAGATCCTAACCTAATATTACCATGTACAAAAGGATAAAGACCATACTCATTTCCTTTTTAATTTCCTCTCGCTAGACCACTCTATTTATCATATACATACTTATATATTATGTACATATATATATTTTCAGCGTATCGAGGATAATTATTCAATTAGGGCGGTATGACAGTTTAAATAAAACTATTTTTCGAATATTTTCGCATTTTTTTTCATTCTTTGATCAATTTGTTAAAATTCAAAATTATCATATATTTATAGAATAAAATTTTAGGGTATTGTATAATTTTTGTGTGTAGACAAATTAGACACCCTCTTTTTTAACTATACCTTTGGAGAAGTTAAAAACCTTAGGCTCTCAAGCATTCAAAACGTTGGAAACAAAATGACACTTCAAAAAATCCGTACGAACCTATATTAAAATATAAAATATTCGCGTAAACTTTTTTACAATTTAGTTCTATCGAAATAAGAAATCGGCCCACTGTGCCGCTTTTGTTACAGTAGAAGACAATTAATAAGCAATTAAATTTTTTACAATTGATCGAAGTTCGACCACAAATAATTATTACTATAATACTAGTTTAAATTAAGTTTTAGCAGATCAAAGTGAATATTTCATTAATTATTTTATATAAATGTTTATTCCAATTAAAATTCTACTGAAAACTAAAGAGTTAAATCCACAGATTATCTCTTACAATACTTGAGTATTTGAAAAAGTGTTCGTATTGAGAGCTCTAACACAATGAGTGACACGTCGTCGTCATAAAGCTTATTTGTTCGAACTACCAAATACTTGTTGTACTTTACAGTAAAGAGTATTTTTCTTCTATTGTAAAAACAAAGCTTTATTACCTTAGTAATCGTTCGCCTATTGACTACATGAAATGCTATAAAATGCAAGGGTTGTCAAAAATGCTAATTTTAATCGAGAACGGTTTTAAAATCGTGGTCGTTTATAAAAAATATTAATGAAAAATGAAAATGTTCTTCTGCTATAATTATTGCCTTTTAAAATTATATCATTAGTTACTAAATCAAGTAAATAACTCTGAACAACAAAAAAAATGAATTTTAAACCAGTTACAAAAATTATACTTACTGAATTCTTTAAGTTTTTAAACACAGACTGTTAGTTCTTATAAAGATACAGATACTGAAAATGTGTTTTTTTTTAATGACCTATTATTTATTATGTATTTTATTATCAGCTGTAATAATTAAAAAAAAAATAATTGTGTAAATAATTACCATTATGACACAGCGCCATCTATGATATTTCGTAGTAACTGTAAGTGCTTAGAAAGCATTTAGAGAATGGTTGGTTCAGTTACATCTGTTTGATGTAATGCTCTATTGAAACACTAGATGGCGTTACATGTTATTATTTATTATTTATAGTATTATAAAATATATTTATTTAATATTATTTAAATATAAATGATGTATTAATTGATCATTTTTATTATTTTTAAAAATAACAATTTTAAAGCAAAAATACTTTAATATTAAAAAAAATAAATATTAAAATCCACCAACTGGCAGTAGCAAATCATATTTTTAATGTCGATTAAAATTAAAAAAAAAACGCATGTAATTAACACATAATTTTTAACAAACCATTTTTCCTTTTGTTTCAGATAACGAACGAACGATTAATTCCAAAATATGTAGTCAAACCTAAGTTCCTATAGCGTAAGTTAGCAAAATGTACAATTCCAACGAGTTCCTGCATAGTGCCGGCGTGAGCCGCCACATGCAGGCTACTGGAGAAACTCCTCAGAAAACCAGTATGAAACGTCGATCGTGTGAAGTGCCTTTAGGTGACATATCGTCTAACAACTTCAAAGTTTCTCTAGGTGATATAACAAATGACAGCTCTAATTACGACTGTCGATCACTGAGATCCATAAAATCTGAAGATTGTCGATCTCTTCGATACTACAGGCCGATAGATAGCAGAAGCGTAAAGAACTTTAGATCTTCCTTAACTGATATTTCAGCGTATTCTTTATCTAGACCACCTAGTTATGATCAGCTTTCGCGAAGATCGATAGTCGATGGTCCAGAAGGTGGTGGTATCACCTCAAGTATAGAAGGCGTGCTGTGGTCCGATGAAGAGGAGAACGAGTATTTTTATCATGAGAACATTACATCTGCTTGGAATCAAGGTCAGTTTTAAATGTTCATATTTAAATTTTAACTAATAATTAATTAAAACCCTGACTTCACTTAGATAGAGAAATGTATATTGATAAGTAATAAATCAGCATCTCTTCCAACTTTCACCCAAATTTTCATCGGTGGAATGTTAATTTATTTGTCATTTATTTAGTTTAACAGCTTACTTGAGTTTCGTACAAACGGTGTAAAAGCGGAACCCTTAAGTTTATGATCATTCGTTCGTCTGTCTGTTTATTTGTCATTGCTTTTTTTAACAAGAAATGAAGTTACCCACAGCATAAAGCTACTATAACTATATAAAAATTAGTTTTATAAGATGCTATTAAATTAAGATTTATATCGTTATTTAAGCGATGTGTCTAAATTCTAAACTTATATCTATAGGTCATTGACCTACAAGATCAAAAATGACCACAAATCATCATCAATAGCGGATTTATCTAATTTACATAATCAGCATCCCACGTCAAAATCAAGGATTAGCCGTTATGTGGTTATTGATTCATAGTCAGATTCTTAATAAATGAAATGTGCCTATTTTCTGTAAACATTAAATTATTTTTTGCAACAAAAATAGAAATTTGACGTCAATGAAAGCTACCGCGCTTGAATTCGCCGCGAGAGAGCGCTAGTGTAGAGTGAGATCTCTAGAAATGTCAAATAACACTGATCGTTTGCGAGCTTTTCATCGCAGATTTTTACTAATTTATTCATGATTATAATAATTGTAAAGTTTGTGCCATTCCTGATTAATTATGGCATTCACGGTATCTTATGCTCAATAAATCTTATTACTTTAAAAGAAGAGTTAAGAAAAGAGTCAATATTTTATTTATTTTGGTATAATTAATTATTTAAAATCCTGATAGAACTGTTTTCGTGGTTACAATTATTATTATAATAATTAATTTATTGGTATGCCACACTGGGAAATGTTCTTTCAACGACATCAGTAGGACCATTCTCGACAGTGGCGCCAGCTGTTGCCACTAGACACGATAGCCCTCTTCGATTAATCCTATATATGACTAGCATTGCCCGCGGCTCCGCCCACGTCCAGATGACCAAAAACCAAATTCTTAGGTTTTTCATATTAGTATACTCTTACATTGCAGTTTTTGTATTTTTCTCATATCTCTATAAGATATTTTCTATGAGATATTTTCCCGCGGTAAAAAGTATCATATATGTTGACCCCGATAACCAGCTATCACCATACCAAATTTCATCAAAATCCCTCCAGTTGTTTTTCTGTGATGCGATAACAGACAGACAGACAAAAATTCTAAAAACTATAGATTCGGCCTCTGTATCGATAATAATGTTTATTTCAATAAGATTTTCCAAAAAATATTTAAGTACAGATTCGGCTTAGTTACAATTTTATTATATTATGCATAAATTTCTAAGTATCGGGATAAGAGTTATTTTTATATACATTTTATTTACTAGCATGGACTATACATATAACACTGCTTATAATTTAAAGTGGCAATTGAAAATATTAAAAAAAATAAGCAAACCCATAGGAAAATTATATATTATAAAGAAGTGTTAACTTATTAGCCACTTAATTTATAGATTTATTCAAAAAAAAACATCTTTTATCGATTAAGTAAATTATTCGGTAGCTATCTTATCGGCTGTTTCATATAAATTACTAACATTACAAGTTAACCATCACCATGTTAACGTCATTAAATGAATTAATGGTTTTGATTTGCATTTGATCATGCCACTTTCTATTTTTAACATAATCTGTTTATAATTATAGAAAAAACTAGCGACTTGCCCTCGCTTTGCTCGGGTTCACCTCCAAAAAAATAATAATAAATCTATCCCACGGGAACCGTACATTTTTCCGGGATAAAAAGTAGCCTATGTGCTATTCCAGGCTACATATAACCTATCTTTGTACCGAATTTCATCCAGATTATTTCAGCCGTTCTGGTGAGATCCAGTAACAAACTTCCATTCAAACATATAAACTTTCACATTTATAATATTAGTAAGATACCATAAAACTTTTCTCAACATGGGTGATGTGATTTTCTTTAAGTTATCGCGAGTTAGAGCTTTTTCTCGTAGTTCTTAACCATATATTAGTTCCTACGGGAGCTTTTAGATGAATCAGGAAAAATCTCATGGTACTCTCCGACCATTTACCTATCTCTATTCAAAAAAATCAATAAAAAAACCAACAAACTTTCATATTTCTAATATGAAAAATACATAAAATATAATTGACCACAATATTATAATGATGAGTAGATATAAATATCTTTATCATAAGCTACTATTGTAGTTATCTTTTTATATATACATTATATTTTAATATGTGTACTTATATATACAAAAATAACTATTAAATAGATAGATGAAACAAGTCTTTTTTTTTAATTAGGACATATTATACTATGGTCTCACGTCATAACTCTGTCAGGATAGAGAAAAAGTATGTGACTTGAGTTGGATAAAGTAAAGCAACCTTCGAATTGACTTTTTGCCCATATATTTTATCTCCAATTCAAAAATATCAGATATTCAATTCATTATTTCTTACCGCGTAGCGAGTAGTATATCACTCTTCAGCCCTCGAACTATCTCTACATAAAAAACCACTCACTCGGTTTCGACGTAAAAGAAGGACAAACAAACACACTTTCACATTGATCATAATTAGTATGGATGTATATCAAATTTCGGATGATATTTGACTAATGCACATTATAACAGCTTCGGAAGCTCTCACATTCTTTACACCAGACATCGGTTAAAATGCAACGTTATTCATTCTTGAAATATTTTATCAATTTCCGAATGCACTTACCTACTTGGACTTTAGCCACAATATTTATTATAATAGATTATTTAGTCCATCCTCTTGTGGATCATCCGTGAGACCGCTGTCTAAATTTGATAATTTTCTAAAAATGAAACTTATTTTTGCTTATTAAATCTATATAAATAAAAATGAATCACCGACATGTATGTACATGGATAACTTCGCATCGACCGCACCAAATTGGATAATTATTTTCTTCTTGTATTTGTTATTGTCAGGAACTTTTGTATAGAAGAAATTTAAAAGGTTTTTTTAACAAATAAAGTATTTTTTAAATCTCATGGTATGAAAAGTGAGTGAAATACTTTTTATCCCGGAAATCATCCCTTAAGGGGGTGAGAATGGGGTTGAAAGTTTGTGTGGGGAAGCAAGCTAGGGATGAACCCGAGCGAATCGAGGGTGAGTCGCTATGAGTATGCTAGCGGTCGCGGGTTGGAGTCCCGTTGGGGGCATTAATTTATGTAATGTGCACGACTGTTCGTACTCCAGTCATGGATGGGTGTTTATATTTATAATATGTATATATTTAAAGTTAAAACACGTAACGTTAAACAAAAGATATAGGTATCTGATACCTAAATATATTCTAGTTCATGAAGTTATCTTTAGGGTGTTATTTAGATGTAGTTTTGCCGATTTTCTTTCAGTAGTTCTTCTCAAGATTGAGGTATATCTCATGGAATTACTAATACCTAGATATAGATATAAAAATTGTATTTCTAATACCATTATTGAATAAAAAAAATTAACTTTGAACATCTAAAATATACATAAAAAGAAATATAAACACCTAGATGACCGCCACATAGTTTGTAGACTTTCTATACAGAAGACTTTAAAACTTTCAAAATTAACCACCCAAGATGTAAGTAATCTTGTTGTTATTTCATATTGATTCGAATATTAACGTACTTATAATTAAATTTCAAGCCAAGATTATTTCACAACATTTGCGTTTGGTTTTATGTTCCATTTTTATTTAAACGTAAATCGAAATTAATATTCAATGTACTCTAATTAAAGCCTTAAGTACTGAGTTACAAAATGTGTAAAAGCTCTAAAAAAATTAAACTGAAAGCTGTTATTGCGACGTTGCATCATAAGCAGACTGAATTCCAGATTTATAAATACTAGCTTTTGCCTGTTTCTTCATTCTCCTGGTAAGATAAAAATATCCTATCTAAAGTCCTCAACTATGAATTACACTTAATTTCTTTAAACAAAAAAGTGAGAAGACGTTCGCAATCTTATCTGTAAATATATTTTTTAGCTACTATTTTAGTACATACACATAGGTACATATATTAAAATTGTAACGAAGCCGAATCTGTACATTAAATATTTTTTGGAAAATCTTATTGAAATTACTATTATTAACGATACAGAGGCCGAATCTATAGTTTTTAGAATTTTTGTTTGTCTGTCTGTCTGTTACCGCATCACAGAAAAACCACTAAAGGGATTTTGATGAAATTTGGTGGTATGATAGCTGGTTACCCGGTTCAACATATAGGATACTTTTTACTGCGGAAAAATGTCTCATTTCTGAGATAAAATGCAAAAACTGCAATATAAGAGTATACTAATATGTAAAACCTAAGAATTTGGTTTTTGGTCTTCTGAACGCGGGCGGAGCCGCGGGCAATGCCAGTATTTAGATAAGAACAATCTTTTCATGATTTAGAACGTAACAAATCGAAGATCTAAACAAAACGAACGTAACGAAAATAACAAATAAACTTTCGATAGAGATAGTTGACTAGAAAATGTTAGTGTTACATGGACTTGTTAATCCCGATACTTAAAATGATTTCCGCGTGATACAAAACTGTTGCAAAACGATACTTAGAAAAGAGAAAGAAATAGAAAGAAGCGAGAAAGACAAAGAAGAACATTATATTTGACGACACGTTTGGCTCAGTTTGTAAGTGTAAGTATGCCAGCGGTCGCGGGTTCGAGTCCCGCTAGGGGCATTCATTTATGTAATGAGCACGAATGTTTGTACGCCAGTCATGGATGGGTGTTTATATTTATAATATGTATATATTTAAAGTTATATATGTGTAGTGTATCAACTATCTGGTATCCATAACACAAGCCTCGTAGCTTACGATGGAACTAGATGGTGCTGTGTGTTATTGTCCCAACAT